TCGATCAGTAGGTGAGGAATCGTCGAGCATACTTCCCTGTAGCCTTTTTTTGTGAAGGTCTGGGATGACAGACGGCATTTTTTGTTCTGATCGCACTCAAGAAGTAAGCGAATTCTCAGCTCTCAATTTCCGGCATCCTCTTCACTTGTTAAGAAGTCGGTCATCGTCGCTAGCAAGTGGTCGACCGAAAGAGGATCGTCGTCGGGCGTCGTACCTTCACAATGCAAGAGAACCAAAAATTGCGCAAGCGAAGCCCTCCGAATACAAAGTCGATGTTGGATGTAGTGGAACGAGGGCTGCAACCGCAGCGCCATTCGTGGTATACGTCTGCTTGGAGCTCATCCCTCGATAATCGCGAGCCCGTTCACAGATGAAGCGTTCGGAATTTTTTTTTGAAAATCGCTGGCGGTTCCTCTGACATTTTACTGAAATGTGGTGATGGTGCTCGGGGGGAGGGGAGGGAGAGGGGAGGAGTCTCAAGACTTTTGTATCAACCTAGCACCTGACAAGAAATGTGCAGGAACTGAACAAATTAGTTATTTCCAGCAAAATTACTTAAAGTTTCGCAACACCTTGAAGAAAAAAGCTTACTGTTGAGGATAACAAGCTGCTTCAATTGTCCGCACAAGTTTCGAAAGCCAGTGATGCCATGTTTGGCCTTCAATTACTCAAAACACCACAACCACTGATTGGGCAAAGGCCCCGATTTGCTCCCATGACCAAAATAGCAGATTCCGACTCCCATCGTATCCCACTACTCAACGCTTTTAAAAGGGAACAAAAATGATCAGATCATGCAATCAATCCTATAGCAGCCACTACGAACTCTAAAAATCACCATTTCTACAAACATTTTATCACTTACCTTTACCGAGCAGAAGTACACTTTGCCAAAGTCTCTCTGGATGTCGTGCAACTATCGTGCTGGAGTTGTAGACTAAACGTTCCTATCGAACATCCCACTAAACAGATGGAAAAATCAATAGCGCGTGCTTGTAGCGCTGACTGATATCGCAAAAATCCGAAGGGAAGTGATGGTATGACCTGATGAGTTCGACACCCTGCCTACTGCTGTTCATGGAACAAAATTACATGCCTAAACCCTGTGAGTTGCTCCATTCTGAAGAGAATGAGCCCACAAACACAAATGTCGCAAGCACCGGCCACTAATGAGCCGTTGCAGT